ATAATTTAGAAATTATATTATATAATTTATTATAAAATTATATAATCTCAATTATAATTATTAATTATAATAAACATCATGAATTCAAATAATTATAAGAATTTGATTCAGTTAATTATAATAATTAAATATGATTACAATTGTATTTAATATAATTTAGATTTTATATATACTTTCCCTATAATCATACTATGGAGAGCAAAGGTGAGATTAAGAAAGACTGACCCCTAGGACATTCCTATATTTATGGAATAGTTGGAAGACGAAGTCAGAGAGGAAAAGAAATCGTGAATGTCCGTGGAGGGTGTCAGTACATAAATGACATGACATCCTCCGCCAGAGCACTTAGTATCGTATACCCCAAATCTACTAACGAGATGTCAAAAGAGTAAATACGTCCCAGTAAGTACTTTTCCTTGCGAAATCTGAAGATTCACTGTGACTCCTATTTTATTATCGTCCTCCCATACATTTCCCAATGACCAGGAGAGCTCATAACAGTTATTTCATCCACGGAAACACCGCTAATAAATAAACAAATAAACAAACAGAATTGTAAGTAGAAGGAATTTCTTTCTGATTTTCTTTAAGACCCTGGTTTCCAGTATAAAGAAATGTCCCAGCTTCAGAGTTACTGGCCAATGGGAAGTTGTCTCGGAAAAGAATGGGAAGCAGGAATCCACTACTTTTGACGCTGTAATGATTTGTTCGGGCCATCACGTATACCCCAATCTGCCAAGCGATTCTTTTCCTGGTAAGTCTGGAAAATATATAATAACCTGGGGACTTATACACAAACATCAAGGTTAGAATAGATCTTTCCATTGAGCGTACATAATGATTGTTAAGGTTCCAAAGATTTCAAAACAAAAATTTTGAGTTTGATGATAGGTGAGACCTAGTAATAATTGGCCTCCTGAACCCCTATACTAAAAGAATCAAGGACCTGCAAGTTTGAGATAAGATGACGACTCAGGTCCTTATCTTAGGCACACCAACTCACACATAAGTCCTGAGTGCACATGAGATCTCTGAATGAAGGTACATTCAGAAAAGTAGAGTCCAACTACCAAATTGTTTAAAGAAAGTCAATTTTTCTTATAACAGAAACATCTTTGTTATTTATAGAGAAAAGCTGGGTTTTCTAATTTCATATATATCCACATTTTTCAAATTCACTTTAGAAATCTCTGTGTGTGTGTGTGTGTGTGTGTGTGTGTGTGTGTGTGTAGTGGCACACTTCATTACTAAACTTAAGTGGCAAACATCAAATTAATACAATACACAAGCAACCTCCTTTCCTTCCTTCATTCTTTCTTTCCTTCCTTCCTTGCAATAGAAACACCTGTCCATTCAAAAATGTTGGAGTTCCCATTCAAAGCATGATTTTCATTGGCCAAGATAATTAAAAGAGTAGAGAGTCAGTAAGAATAGGAGGTCAAAACCAACAATGTTCAGAGGCAGTATCTTTCCTGTAGACTAAGAATAATTACCATCAGCTTGGAATGCTTGGGCTCAACTCCTTATCCCACTGGCTCCTTACCATATGACCTTAGACAAGTCCTTATTTGTCTCAATTTCCTTGTCTTTTAAAATAAGATAATACTAATACCAACCATTCAAAGATGTTATCAAGAGTAAATGATGAGAACGTGCAAAGCCTTTAGGAGAAGGCCCAGCCCACAGTATTAAATATTAGCTATTTTTATTATAAAAATAGAAATGTTCATAGTTAAGGGTTTTTTTTTTTCAAGACAGTAAAAGTAATTATTTGAGGGAGGGGTGTCGTGTCAAAAAACCACCAAAAGAATAAATGCATTTCAACTAGGGAATTTTTTTAAAAAATTAAGACTGATTAATGAGAAGTTTAGAAATAAAAATATCCAAAAAAGGGAGTTTTCATTATTTCTTCTGAAAATCAACTCAGACCACTCCCTATGTTCCACTTAGGCCTAGACAAGTTTCAAGGCCATTACCTCCACAGCCGGGACTACAAGGGCCCAGAAGCCTTCAAGGGGAAAAGGGTCCTCGTGATTGGCCTGGGGAACTCGGCATGTGACATTGCTGTTGAGCTCAGTCACCTGGCTACACAGGTAAGTGATCTAAAGGGTCTGAGGACACCGACCTTGAGTATGGCTATACTACTGAATCAGCAGCCTGGCACTGAGGATGATCTTTGTCACGTCATCCCACAAGGGAGCCACATGCTGTGCAGGTCCCTTAAGTCGGGGAGGACTGCAGACACCCTCCTTGTGCAGCAAAGTAATGTGGCCCATGCTAGTAAGAAGGTACATTCTGCTGGACTCAGAGGTAAGTGTGTGTGTGTATGTGTGTGTGTGTGTGTGTGCATTTCTGTTTCAATTTTATGTTCTGATAGCTTCCAAGCACGCTGGTGACTAATCAGACTCTACTTTATTTATTTATCATCTGACGGTATTTCTTATCACGTACCCTGTGAAAGGCACTCAGCTGACCACTCTGAAGGTCTGGGAGATACACAAGATTTAGTTCTTCCTACTGTTTATCCATTCAACAGCCAGTGCTCAACAAATATCAGGTGCTTCCTATGTGTCAAAATTATGTCAGACTACGAACACACACAGAAATAAAAGTCAGATTTCTTCCCAACTTCAAGGAGCAGGCAATGGGTAGAGGTGGGATGACAGATAAGCGGACCACCGCAGAAGGAGGTAATGTGACTTCAATGCCATTCAGTATGGCAGGGGCAGCACCATGGAAAGAGAACCCAACTTAGCCAGGCTGCAGGCAAAGAACGTCTCCTAGAGACTCCGAGCTGTGCCATGTGCAATCAGTAGACCCCGAAGAAACAACGTATTTTAAAGGAAATAGGTGCTCAATGAATTCTTAAATGTAAGTAGATAAAAGTTAAGAATTTTTTAAAAGTCAGATTCCCTTGGATTATTACACGAGTGGTACAATGGCCAGGCAGTGGGTTTGTCTCAGGGCCGAGGGAGCCGTCATGGTCCGAGACACCCAGCAAAGGTGCTGCTGGGTGGGTGTGTAGGGAGACCAGAGACGGAGAACAGAGTTAAATCTCTGGCATCTCCTCAGCCTGATTTCAGCTAAAGATTTAGCTACATTTCCCCCACCCAACCCAGCAACTGCCACCACCCACCACCACTGAGGTTGGCTGGATCGGCTAGTGTCCACCAGACCTACCGTGTTAGTCTACGAGTGTGTGAAGACAAAACCTGTCACGGTTGAATACAGAGCCCTCTTGTTTCAAGAAGGCAGGTCCTCATTCTTACAACAGCGAAGCATTAGCTCTCTGGGTTGGAGAAAGGGAAGAGTTCTGCCTCTACCTGGTCTTAATCATGGACAACTCATCGTGACCCACTTCTTTAAAATTGCTCCTGTCTGAATACTGAGGGAAATGTATAGAGACGTCCATAGAATTGTGTCTTATCTACTCATTTCTTAAGGAGTGACACTGATATCTATGTGGCCTTCCCCACCAGGTCATTATCAGCACCAGAAGTGGTTCCTGGGTCATGAGCCGGCTTTGGGATGATGGCTGTCCTTGGGACATGGTGTATGTCACCCGCTTTGCAAACCTCCTCTGGAATGTTCTTCCTTCATTTGTCTCTGACTGGTTATATGTCAAGAAGATGAACACGTGGTTTAAGCACGAGAACTATGGCCTGATGCCTTTAAATGGGTACTATGAATAATACGCATTTGTCATTCAAAAGAGTGGGGCGCTGGTTTAAGTTGAATTCTTTCTCTCTAGGTCTGACTTTAGTTGTCTCGCTGAGGCTGCTGGGATTAAATTGAGGACTGCATAGGTGACATTGTATGCCCAGAGGCCACGTATGGGATGAAAATCTTATTGAAATCAGTCTAGTGGGGAAAGGAGTATGGAAAAATTCAAACTGGGGATGCAGCAGGCAGCTAGATCACCCTGACATGGAGGATCCAGCTGTGGAAGCTACAAGTTAACAGTACGGAATTTTGAGAGCTGAGCTAACTCATGAATTGTGTTGGTTTGTTTTTGTTTTTGTTTTTTTTTGTTTTTTTGAGGATTATCTCATTCATGCTTATGGGTGAATGGAGATAGGAATAATAACAACAATACCTACTCCTCAAGACTGTCCTGGTGTTCACTAAGATAAAAGACGTAAGACTTACTTTGTAAACTATAAAGTGGCACAAAGTATTCGTTCTTGATAATCTCAAATTTTCTAACGCACCTCTATGGAACAATGAACAGAGTGGTGTTAATCAACACATCTCGATGAGTGGGGAGGGTCAAAACCAAAGCGCACACCTCCTCCACCACCGAAGGGTCACACTTTGGCAGGACAGTCAGGAGGCATGGGACAGACATGTCAGGTGTTGGGACTTCCCAGAACTGAGAGGCCAATGAAATTAACAAGATTCACTTGTGTCCTTCTCTATGGAGACAGAGCCCAACTTCCACTAATGAGAAAAACATTCGAGTTGGAAGTATCACTATGTCAAGAGAAAAAATATTTAAGTGGGTAGCAAAGAAAGGACTCATTGAGAAATTTCATCTCTGGCCCCTGCCAGCAAGTGCTTCATTGTGTGTAGAGAAACAGGTTAAAGAAAAGTAAGAGGCAACTGGAAACTGAAACGACAAATACAAGGCTTGGGAGCCCAACCCTCAGTCCACAGCACGTGTCCTACCTAGTCGGGCAGACCGCTAGATGCCTAGACAGAAAGAAGAGATGATTTCACATATTTGAAATTATGTTTCATGCAATAGGAGTCCCAAAGCTTGATCTGGTTAAGATTTTTTTTTTGTCTTGTAAGAGTAACTGAAAACTGTATTTTGGCTTTGTCCTTTAGACATTAATTAATACATCGTTTTGGAAATCCACTCCTAAGAACTAAGCCCCCTCCCGGAAAGGGTTCCAAGCTCCCTGAGATACTGCCGACACATCCTCACTCCCGCTCAGAACAGAAGTGGGAGACGGGAGAGGGAAACAGATTTTCCTGCGACCGACTCTTTGTCACCTGATAAGACAGAAGAAGAGGTTGCAGAATGATAGAGGTGGAGAACAGTGTGGAAGCATAGAGACAAATTCTAAGATTTATAAAGTTTCTCAGTGTTTGAGATAGTTGGAAGATGTTCCCAAACCTCTGAAGGAAACAACTCAAAATGAAGAATGTCGTCGAAAAAAACCTCATTCCTTGAATTTTGGCAGCTGAAGTGCAGGATCAAAAGTTGTTATACGTTCTTTAGTGACCAGAGTTGATGAAAGGAAACCAAAGGTGGCAATAAAACATCAGGGGGGTCGTTTTATAAACTATATCAATGTCTAACCAATGTACTGTATACTTGAAACTAATAATAAAATTAAAAAAAAAAAAAGAATCCCACCACAATGATGACGCCTTAGTTACAATAATAGCTCACTTATAATAACGATGCTTACAGGTGCCAGGCACTCTTTTAAATGCTTTACAGATTACTCATGAAATTCTCACGACAACCCCATAAGGTAGATTCTGTATTGTCCCCATTTGATGAATAAGGAAACATACTGGGATGTGGTAGCTAGTAAGAGATGGAGCCAGGCTATAAATTCGGGTCATCTCTCTCCAGAGTCAACACTCTTAATCCTTTTATTACGTCTAGGAATTAGTTTTATTCTAATCTATTTGGTGAGTCTCCAAATAGTCTAAGTACGCATAAGAGAATCTTCAAGTTTCCAGGGGCCAGACAGACAATTCCAGACAACAGAAAAAGAACTGCCCAAAAGAAGAGCTTGGTTGTCCCCAAGCTGATGCCTAACTGCTCGAATGTAGTTGCAATGCTATGGGCTGTTGCGGAGATTTCTTGGAGATGAAATAGTTTATGGCAACGGCCTTCGTCTCTTGCTTCTGCACAGCACCCTGAGGAATGAGCCTGTTTTCAACGACGAGCTCCCATCACGCATCCTGTGTGGCACCGTGTCCATCAAGCCCGGGGTGAAGGCGTTCACAGAGACCTCGGCCGTGTTCGAGGATGGGACCGTCTTTGAGGCCATCGACTTTGTCGTCTTTGCAACCGGCTATAATTATGCCTACCCCTACCTTGATGACTCCATCATCCAGAACAGGAACAAGGAGCTCTACTTGTTTAAAGGCATCTTCCCCCCGCTGATGGAGAAGCCGACCTTGGCTGTGATTGGCCTTGTCCAGTCCCTTGGGGCTGCCATCCCCACAGCCGACCAGCAAGCCCGCTGGGCTGTTAAAGTGTTTACAAGTAAGTGGGCCATCTTGTCTTCCATTCCTTTAGTCAGTGGACATTTATTAAGCACCTACTGTATGCCGAGCACTGCGCCAGATGCTGGAGATGTAACAGAAATAAGACAGATGTGCTCCATGACCTCAGAGAGCAAGTACACCGGCTCCTCAGATTTCTGTTTCTGTGAACTGTTATTCTACTAAAGATACCAAAGATAGCTCCTCTTGATACAAAATCTTTTAGGGACAGAGTTCATAAATATTGAACGAAATTCATCACATGTCATTATACATTTCTGATTGCTTTGTTTTTTTTCAATATTTCCCTCTTCGTTTCTATTTTTAGACTCATGTACCCTGCCGACTCCAAAGGAAATGATGGATGATATTGATAAGAAAATGGAGAAGAAACTCAAGTGGTAAGAGATTGTATCTGCTAATGAAATGGAACACTAGCTATAATCGCACAGTAGCAGATGGCGAATGATACTAGTTCTCCCGTATAATACTACGACACAGGTTCTCAAACAGGGCTCATTTTGGCCCCCAGGAAACATTTGACAAAGTCTGGAGACATTTTTGGTCATCATAAGTGAAGAAGGCATACTACCAGTGTCTAATGAGTAGAAACTGGGGGTGCCGCCAAACTTCCAACAGTGCAGAGGGCAGTCCGCCCACACAGAGAAGTGTCCAGTTCAAAACGCCAGTAGCGCTAAGATTCAGAAAGAGCTGTAACACTTTCCGCAAGAGCTCCATTCTCATCAAATCAGCCGCTTGTCTGTCCTAGCCACGGCAATCAAAAAAAAAAAAAAGGAAAGAAAGAAAGAAAAGATATCCAAATTGGAAAGGAAGAAGTAAAATTGTCACTATTCGCAGGTAATGTAATACCGTCTATAGAAAACTAAAGATTTCGCATAAATAAATAAATAAATAAATAAAAGAAATTCAAATAAATGAATTCAGTAAAGTTGCAGGATACAAAATTAATATTCAGAAATCTGTTTTATTTCTATATGTAAATAATGAACTATGAGAAAGAGAAACTGAGAAGACAACCCCATGTGCAATTGTATCAAAACGAAAAAAATCCCTGGGACGAAATTTAACCAATGAGGTAAAAGACCTGTACCCAGAAAATTATAACACATTGGTGAAAGAAGTATCTTGAAGAAGACACAAATAAATGGAATGATATACAGTGCTCACGAACTGGAAGAATTAAGAACATTAAAATGTCCACGCTACCCAAAGCAATCTACAGATTTCATGCAATCTCTACCAAAATACTAATAGCATTTTTCACAGAACTAGAACAAATAATCCTAAAATTTACATGGAACCAAAAAAGACCTGAATAGCCAAAGAAATCTTGAAAAAGAAGAACAAAGTTGGAGGTATCGTGCTCCATGGTTTCAAACTATAATACAAAGCTATAGTAATCAAATCAGCGTGGTACTGACACAAAAACAGACACAGATTGATGGAAACAAACCACACCTATATGGTCAATTAATCTACAACGAAAGAGGCAAGAATATACAGTGGAAAAAAGACAGTCTCTTCAAGACATGATGCTGGGAAAACTGAATGAATACATGCAAAAAAATGAAACCAGACCACTTTCTTACGCTGTATGCAAAAATAAACTCGAAATGGATGAAAGACTTAAACGTAAGACCTAAAACCATGACACTCCTAGAAGAAAACATAGGCAGTAACCTCTTTGACATGCCTTTGCAATATGTTTTGACTATGTCTCCTTGGGTAAAGTCATCAAAAGGAAAAATAAACAAACGTGAACTACATCAAAGTAAAAAGCTTTTGCAACGAACGAACAAATGGAAAAACTCATAGATACAGACAAGCCAATGTTGGTCACCAGAGGGGAAGAGGGTTGGTGGGAGACAGAACGAGTAAATGGGGTCAAACAGAAGGTAATAGAAGGAGACTAGACTTTGGGTGATGAGCACACAACAGCGTATACAGATGTTGTGTTATAAAGTTGTACATCTGAAATTTACATATTATTAACTAATGTTACCCCAATAAATTTAATTCAAAAAAAAATTAGAAGCTTTTGCACAGTGAAGGAAACTAACAATAAGATTACAAAGTGACCTACTGAATGGGATACTCGCAAATGATATACCCAGTAAGGGGTTAAACTACCCAAAAGACATAAAGAACTCATACGACATCAAAAAACAACCTGATTAAAAAATGGGCAGAGGCCCCGAATAGGCATTTCTCCAAAGACATACAGATGGTCAACAGACAGATGAAAAAATGTTCAACAGCGATAATCACCCAGAAAATGCAAATCAAAATCACACTGAGATATCACCTCACACCTGTCAGAATGGCTATTACCAAAAAGACAACAAATAACAAATGTTGGCGAGGATGTGAGAATGTATGGTTGGCGAGAAAACGGAACCCTTGTACACTGTTGGTGGGACTGTAAATTAGTGCAGCCACTATGAAAACCAATGGCGAGTCCTCAAAAAATTAACACTAGAACTACTGTATGACCCAGCGATTCCACTTTTGGGTATTTATCTAAAGAACATAGAAACAATAATTTTAAAAAATGTATACACCCCTACGTTCATTGCAGCATTGTTTATAATAGCCAAGCTCTAGAAGCAACCTGTATTCATTGCTAGGCGATGGATAAAGAAGTGGCACATTTATAGCTGGAATAAAACTGAGCCATTAAAAAAGAATAAAATCTTTCCATTCGCAACGACATGGATGGGCCTAGAGAGAACGATGTTGTGTGTTCAACTATAGCTAAAAAAATAAAATTAAAAACAAAAAGAATAGTCAAGCATTAAAAAGAAAAGTAAGTTCATCAGTCACCTTAAGACCATAGGGTCAGTTCACTCAGGCCACATGGCCAGAGGCAAAAGCTCAAAATGACATCAAACTTGTCTAAGCTATTGGGAAGAAGAGAAAAATAAAAGCTCATTCACAGCCAAAGAACAAATGGTAAATTCAGTGTTGGGGAAAGAGAGAGGCGTGGGGTACTACTGGAGGTACTGACTAAAATGTTCCTCTACTGAGATAGAAAATAAGAAACTGGTCACGACTCATCGCAATGTGTTCTTCTCTTTGCTCAGGTTTGGCCAGAGCCAGACTTTGCAGACCGATTACGTCACATACATGGACGAGCTGGGCTCCTTCATAGGGGCCAAGCCCAACATACCATGGCTGCTCCTGACTGATCCCCAGCTTGCCCTCGAGGTGTACTTCGGTCCCTGCACCCCATACCAGTTTCGACTTATGGGCCCAGGGAAGTGGGATGGAGCCAGAAAGGCCATCATGACCCAATGGGACCGAACAGTCAAGCCAATGAGGACAAGAGCTGTCAGTGAAGCTCACAGACCCCAACCCTTTTATGACCTGCTTAAAATGCTTTTATTTCCACTGCTGCTTCTTTCTGTTTTGCTTCTGTTCTATTAATGAGAAAGCTCTTTGGGTCTCAGAGTTCAGCCTAGAACTTTAATGGCGGATATGCCTATACATACAGATATATAAAATCTCATAGCTGCTTTTTCCCCTCCTGCAGATGTAAAAACGAATTCTGGCCCATTAGACTCCAAGTCTAAATAAAATGGAAATACTCAGCCTCTCTTTTCTGCTGAGAATCTATAGTCTAAAAGGCTTTTTACATGCTAAATTGGCAAGTGCGGAGATGCCTGGTATAAAAAAGACGGGAGGGTAAATGGGAGTGAGCACAGAGTTGCAGGCTGAATAAAGTTTGCTGCGGTTTATTGCTAACATATAGAAATGGAATCATTTGTTCTATGAACTTTTATGTAGATTTCATAATATTTTCTACATAATCATGTTATCTGAAAATAAAGATAGTTTTACTTCTCCCATTCCAATTTGGATGTCTTTTATTTCTTTTTGTTGCCTTCCTGCACTGGCTAGAAACTCCACTAGAATGTTGAATAAAGTAGTGAGATCAGACATCTTTGCCTTGTTCCTGATCTTAGGAATAAAGTATTCAGTCTTCCACTATTAAGTATGACGTTAGCTGTAGATTTTTTCATAAATGACCTTTAAGTTGAAGGAGTTTTCTTTTATTCCTAGTTTGCTGACAGTTTTTGATAATATTTTTATCTGCTTTTGGTATCAGTGTAATGACAGTCTCACAGAATAAGTTAGAGAGTATTCTTTCCTCTTTAATTTTCCAGAAGAGCTGTGTATGATTGGCATCCTTACTTTCTTAAATGTTTGGTAGAATTGACCAGTGAAGCCATCTTGGCCTGAAGTTCTTTGTGGGAACATTTTTAAACTACAATTCCAAGTTCTTCAGCAGAGGTAAGGTTACACACAATACGCCTTTCTTCTTGAGAGAACTTTGGCTGTCTGTGTCTTTCCAGCAGTTTGTTCTTTTCCATAAGGTAATTCAATATAGACAGTACAGTCTTTTCAACAAACGGTACTGGGACAATTAGATATTCATATGAGATGAAAAAATAATGATCTACAAACATATAGAGACATGAGGAGAACAAGAAAAAACAATATTTTCAGTGAGGGTGTCTGTGCTTCAGGAACATGTTTTGGGGTATGAGTCTCCTCCCTAACCCACACCCAACATGAGAGGGGTGTTTTCCCCAACCTAGACCCTGGCGGAAGTGTGGCGAAGTGCAGCGTCGACCCTTCAGACCTAGAATATTTGAGCCAACTGAAAATTTCTTTGGTAAATTGGTCTTGTTGAAACCTTATCCAATCAAATGGACAACATTAATTTTCATCAAACTGAATTTAATGGAATGCTATGTATAACTTCTGGGTACCTGGTCCTGTGTAACAAACAGACAAAAGTATGCCCCTTCTCATCTTTAGCAATCATGCAAAATAAAACGGGATCAAAAGAACAGTGAGGGCTAGGGACCCCGCTAACTCACAGGGCACTTCGCTCTTGTGATTGGGTGCTTAGCCGGATCATCCCTGAAACCCTTGTGTGTGTGTGTGAATGTGTATGGTATGTAGGTGACTGGATATGTCTGTGATTGAATCTAGTGTAAGGACTATAGCAGGCCAACTCATTAACAAATCGAATAAATAAAAGGTTTTTTAAAATCAGTTCATTATCAGTAATAATCACTGATTTGTAAATCAGATTGGTAGAAAAGGAAAGTTAAGAGACTGCTCTGTTTCATGTCTGATTCTTTGAAATTTGTTATTAAAGTCGAGTTGGCATATGATATCATATTACTTCAGGTGTACAGCATAGTAATTCAACACTTACATACCTTACAATGTGATCAACATGGTAAGTCTAGTAACCATCTCTCGCCGTGCAAAGATACTACAATAATATTGACCAAAGTCCCCGTGCTGTGTGCTACATCCGCATGGCTTATTTATTTCATAACTGGAAGTCTGTGCCTCTCATTTCCCTTCACCTTTTACACCCATCTCCCCCACCCCCCTCCCCTCTGGCAGCCATCGCTTTGTTCTCTATATCTATGAGTTTCTGTCTATTTTGTTTTGTTTGTTCCTGAGTTGTTTTTTTTTTTAGATCTCACACATAAGTGAGCTCATGTGGTATTTGTCTCTCTCTGTCTGACTTATTTCACTTAGCATATACTCTCTAGGTCCATCCATGTTGTAACAAATGACAAGATTTCATATATGAGTAATGAAACTTTATTGCTGAATAATATTCCATTATATATACATACATATATGTATGTGTATGTATGTACACATCACATTTTCCTTATCCATCTATTGATAGACATTTAGGTTGCTTCCATATCTTGGCTGTTGTGAATAATGCTGCAATAGACACATGAATGCCTATACCTTTTTGAATTAAGTGTTTTCATTTTATTCAAATAGATACCCAGAAGTGGAATTGCTGGGTCATATGGTAGTTCTAGTTTTAGGTTTTGTTGAAACCTTTCTACCGTGTTCCATAGTGGCCATGCCAATTCACAATCCCACCAACAGTGTGAGAGGGGTCCCTTTCCTCGACATCCTTGCCAATGTTGGTTACTTTTTGCCTTTCTGATAACAGCCAAACTGACAGGTGTGAGGTGACATCTCATTGTGGTTTTGACTCGCATTTCCCTGATGACTAGTGATGTTGAGTATCTTTTCATGTGTCTGTTGGTGACCTGTATGTCTTTAGAAAAATGTCCATTCAGTCCCTCTGCCCATTTTTAAACTAAACTGATTTTTTTTTAGGTTGAATTCTATGAATTCTCTATATTTTTAGATATTAGCCCCTTATCGTTTGCAAATATCTTCTCCAATTCAGTGAGCTGCCTTTCTGTTTTGTTGCCGGTTTCCTTCGATGTCAAAGCTTTTTAGTTTGATATAATCGTGTTTATTGTTGCTTTTGTTGTCCTCACTTGGAGAGACATGTCCAAAAACATATTTCTAAGACCTATGTCAAAGAGGTTACTGCCTATGTTTTCTTCTAGGAGTTTTATGGTTTCTGGTCTTACATTTAAGACTTTAATCCATTTCGAGGTGGGGTTTTTTTCTATAAAGAAAAAAATTTCATTTTTTTTTCCATGTAGCCATCCAGTTTTCCCAGCACCATTTATCAAAGAGACTATCTCGTCCCCATGATATAGTCTTGCTTCCTTTGTTATAAATTAACTGACCACCTAAGGTTTATTTCAATAGCCTCTAGATTTAGTCTTCCTAATTAATGTCAGCGCTAATAACTTAGATCATAAACAAAGGTAAGTTATCCAATTCTATAAGAGAGCCATGGACAGGAAGATCTTAGTACCACTAGGTTCATCCAAGCTAGTGTACATGCGGCAGAAAAACCAAGATGAGCTGTGAGTCTGGTCCGAGTAAGTAATCCAGGAAGAGACGAGCATAGCATGCTGGGATCTAGAAACTGTCACGTGTACGAAAGCCAGGCCAGGACAAGTCTGAGATCAGGGACACAATCTGCTTTATTCATCCAGGTACAGCGGCATGCCAGAAATAGTGCCTAACATATAGAAATGAATACTTGTTGGATAACTAATCCATCAACCAAATGAGAATTCATGCAGCCATTAAAAAAAAAAATGGATATAAAGGTATTGATACTCCAGAAAGTGAAAAATCAAGTTAGAAATCACACTTAGAGTGTGATTTCATCTTTGTCTGTGTGTATTTATAAATACCTGGAAAAGATACACCGACATATCAACAGTGGTTCTATCTCTGTATGATGGCATGAGGGATGATTTCAGATGCTTTTTATTTATCCATTTTTGCTAATTTGCAAGTAACTGTGTTTTGAAGTAACTGTGTGATCCGTGTCCAAGTGTATATACAGTGGCGTTGCCGTGAAGACATTCCTCCATGACCCTGGACCTCAGAATGTGGGTGTCTCACTAAGCCTCAGAACTAACAAAGTCCCTGGAGTTTCAGAGGACACTGGAGGAGTGAGAGGCCCCTCCCATTTCTTACAGCCTCCTCCGACTCTTAACACTCT